ATTTTAACCTGTGGGTCTGAGAGCACATAGGAAAGAAGGGCATGTCACTATTCCCAGGACTGAGGTGGAAGGGCAAAAGTAAAAGGACCTGCCAAAGCTCACCTAGCAGACCAGGGGAAGAGGCTGGAAGACTGCTCAGCACTTCTGCCTCTGCCCAGCACCCTGTTCAGTAGGCCAGGCTGATACAGGTGCATCTTGTATTGGCAGGTTGTTGCTTCACAAATTGTGAGACCTGTATCCAGACATAGCAGTTTCCTTCTTCCCATATATTCCAGAGCTATTTCTGTAAATGCATTCACATGTAGAGTAAGACATTCCTCGTCCATTAACGTATTTATTTACTGTCACACTGCTTTTGGCAATAATTTTCTTTCTGTTGATGAAATGAGAAGCAAATCTCTTCTAAAACCCTGATAAATTGTGTAGATTAAATGGCCAAAAGGTGGCTAGGTCATGCAAAGCTTACAATTATTCCAGAAGATAGTGGAATTAATATCCACTGTGCAGCTTTACAAACATTTCAGATTTGTCACTGAGCTACATTTAAGTTGATATTCCTAATATCTGCAGATGATAGGGACAAATGTATCTATAACCAGTAAAAATGTTGTTGAATCACAATATATGTACTGTGTCAGTGGTATATATGTCAACCTCCCCCAAACTGCAGCAATGAGAAAGACTGTATGGGAGCAGCCCACCGAAGTCTAGCAATCTGAGTAAAGCCCTGGTTAGAATAACTGTCTTAACGCCTCCTGCAGTTAAGTGAAACCAGCTAAGCAGTCCCCACATTCTAATTGGTGTTTGAGGCCCCGGAACTGACTCTCTGTCCATCAGCTACCAAGACAGAATCAGTTTACGATGGAAATTCAAAGGTAGAACAGATGAGCGTTTCTCTCTCCACAAGTATCTCTGCATGTGTTGCAATTGTTAGAGCAGAGATGTGGAACTGAGATGAGATCTGACTATCATGATAGGATGGCTCTGCACCAGCAAGTCAGGCAATGGACTATTAGTGTTTAAAAATCTCTTAGAAGGAGTATAGAAGTATTTATACATATATAACACATAACAAAAGCCTATAACAAATGCCAGGACACAGAAAAAGCCTGTGACTAAGTGTCTGAACACAGAAAGCAAGCAACATGTTCCATGCAGTGAAGCATGCTGAGCAATAAATGTGCCCCTATGACAAGGAAAGACACCTCCATAAGGAAGGGCTGCACTGACAAGAAAACCCATAGCTATCAAGTGCTTATTTCACTTTGTTCAACACAGTAATGAAGCTACATCTGGAGTACCATGTTTCCTTTTCAGCATCCTATTACAAGAGAGATGTTGAAAATCTGGTGCAAACCCAGTGGGAGAGCCAGTGCCGTGTTGAGAGGGTGGCACGATCAGGATCCAAAGAGCTTGGAGAAGGAAATACTAAGGGGAATAAGGTTTAGTGTGCCACTGTCCATCACTTAATGGTGAGGGGGTTATACAGAAGTTAGAGGCAGACTCTTCTCAGATGTGCAAAACAGGCAATGGGCACAAGCTGCAGTGCTGCAGAAGGAACAATTTCTTCCTTCATGAGAGTGGTGTAGCATTGAAACAGGTTCCCAGAAGGGCTGTCTGATCACCACCCATGGCTAAAATCCACAGGGACAAGAGAGCTGCCTTGAGTGACATATTCTAGTTCTGCAGTTAGCCCTGCTATGAGCAGGAGGTTGGGCTGGAGACTTCCAGAGGTCCCTTCTTCCCTGATTTATGTGATGACTTTATGAATCTGTAATTTTTTGTCTTTTTCCTCTGGAAGTTTAAAAGAGCACAGAGGCATATAGCTGCGATCAGACCAGGACATCCCTTTTTGGGGTTTCCAGCCCTTACCTGCCACTTGTTTTTCAGCCCAGTTCAACACGCGAATGAGAGTATAACGGGCACTTCCTCCCACAAAACTTTCAGTGCTCTCTAGCGTTATTTCTTTACAATGACAAGTGTGCAACATCTTTACTTTTTTCCCCAGGAGGCAGAAACACAATCATGAATGAAGTTTTCTTGAACATATAATTTCAGAATTCAAAATCTAATACTTTCAGTTACAGCTCTGTAGAGCATCGCTAATGTTCATGCTGGGATCAACTTACATGAAGCTGAGGGATTTGTTCCCAGCTTTCACTTGAGTAATTCTGTGGGAACTGGACAATGTGCTTCAGTCTTTATTGAATTTTTTATAAAGACTAGGGTGGTAGGGATCCATTAAGCAGACCATGCCTTTCATATTTTTCACAATTTTCTATATAAGGTTTAAGTAATTTTTTTTTTTTTTTTTTTTTTTTTTTTTTGAGGTAGTGGCCCAGTTCTCAGCTAATGGGAGTCAAAGTCAGCAGAACTGCAGCACACTGCCTGGGGTGGCACAGAACAGGGAGGGGTGGGGTGGGGCTAACCTCAGCCCCTGGAAAAGTTTCAGCAGTGAAGCCTGGACCTTGGTCAGTTTTCTTAGGATCAGGTTGCTTTTGAAAATTGTTGTGTACTGCCTAGCCCTAAGGTGTTACAGCTATAAATCAGGAAAGGGAGGGTGTTAGTAAGAGTGCCCAGTGTTGTGTGGACCTTGCATGTGGAAAAGCAAGGAGCGATAAATAAAATTAGTACAGAAGAACAAGTAACCTGTTTCAGCCCTAAGTGCATGGCTACTTACAGGTTGCATTGATTTGATTTAGAAGGTTTTGCTTTCTTTTTATTGTTGTATATGTACATATGAAACAGAAAAGATATAATACAGTGGGATTTTAGTCAATTCCCATGGCTGAAGTTAAAAATCAAGATCAACCCATTCATCTATGAATAATGGGGAGAAAATGGAACCAATTGTAGGGTGTTCCCATCTCCAAGCAAGAAAAACCCCATTTCTCTCCATGAGGATATACATACCTGCCATTAATAACAGTGATCATGTTCACTAATGTATGATATTTCTATATGTAACATAAACGTACATGGATGTGATGATGTGTATTTATAAAATGGAGTTTAAGTGCAACAAAAAGCAAAGTTTAATCAATTAAGTATAGAAAAAATTACAATGGTAAATTGTATTTTAGAACGTATGCTATTACATGAACATTTGCAACACTGGGACTGCGAAGACCACATGTTTGTGCAGTGTTATACATGATGCCAGAGATATAAACCAGCTATGTAAACGTGGATGCTTCTGGGCTAGATAGAAAACAGCTCATGGTGGAAACCTTCAATTGCAGAGATATAAAAAACTACATGCGAGTATGACATACAACCATGTACCAATTTTCTGAAAAATATGTTTTATTTTCAAGGTGCTAGCCAGACAATGTCAGAAATGCATAACACCACCGGAATTGTGTCTCCATCTAATGTCCACAAATTATTGAAAATTATCTCACTGTGTATAACTTATTTGATAACAGACATTGCATGTAAAGCAACGTCTGCTGAAGGATGTGTTTTTAATTACATCATACTTATAGAAGCAACTCTCAACTCACAGGAATCACTGCAATTGCCCAGTATGCTATGTTAGGCTCAGTGTCTTTAGGAATTGTCAAGCAATTTTCAACAATTTTTCAGACGATTGCCAGAAAGACAACCCACTCCTACACCTGAAATCCAACAAAAAAGTGGTACAAAAGCTGCAAAGGGAGCAGTTCCTGTACACCAAACGAATCACCAAGTAACCCACATTGCTACCGCAGCCCAAAATGCAGTGTACAAGTCCTGCTGTAAGTGCCTCTCAGAGTGATCTTCCTCAATTAGAAGACTTTGAAACTTGGATTTATATCCTAGACTTGTCATTTTAATCATTATACTGATTTTTCTTAGCTATAAAAATCAAATGTTTCGTATGTTATGGATATACATAAAAAGGAAGAGCTCTCAGACCTGTACAAGTAGTCTCAAGGTAAGAGAAAAGAAGGAATAAAAGAGCAAATGTCTCTCAGATCTGCCACCTCGTCCTGATCAGTACCCTTGAGATTTCCAAGGGTTGCAACATCCATTTTTGACTTGTAAAAAGTGTTTGTGAAGTGTGTGGGAAACCTCGGCTGGTCTGAGGGATCAGAATGTAAGCTTAACATTAACCTTGAGCAGATAACCGTGTACCCTTAAGGAGTCTGGAAAGTCCCAAGAAGAGCTGAGTAAACAGGATCAAGGAACTGCCTCCGCAAGGAGAAGTTTATTGAAGATGTAACAAAGAAGAGATCATCCTATCATGAGCTGTTGGTCCTTTGAGTGAACCAATCATGTATGGACACACATTCTTAAGAAAGATATAAAACAGGCTTGTATAACAAAAAAGGGTCCTTTTTGGCCTTTGGCTTTGGTGCACAATTCCGTGTGTCGTGTCTGTCTCAACAGCGACAAAGTGGACTAACGAAAGGAGGTTTATAGCCCTTTAGCCCCATAAATAAGATTTTGCCATTCTAGCATCCTAATAGAACGAAGACATCGTATCAGGCTGTTAAATCTCACATCTGAAATGAAGAGGTATTTATGTGTTTTTTAGATGCCAAATTCTGTAACACTGAATAATGTACATGAAATTGAACTTTCTGGAAAAAATACTGGATCTTGACATTGTCTTGTGTGGAGCTATGCTGCTTTCCCATATTGGATCTCCAGTGGTGAGATCTGAATGCTGATTTAAATGAGTAGCACTGATTATCTCCTCTTCACATGAAGTAAGTAGCAACAGGAACCTTTTGCATGTTGTATGATCTAGTTGCCAGGCTGGTAAAAATTAAAAAAAACAACACACCTAATTTTACCTGTGGTTTACACAACTCAGACTTTATCATTTCACCCTGAAAAGAAGAGATATAAGGTTGAAATATTCCTGGATTTTAATCACAAATATAATGACAATGCATTGATTCACCACAATTTTGGTCAACAATTTCCATTTAATATTACCTCAGATATCCTACCCTGTGCAAAGTGGTGTAAACCTTCAAAGATGCTACTCACTTTCACTTTGCAGTATCTTAGATACTCAGAAGGACTGCTGTCTTCTTGCAAATCCACTTGTATAAGGAGTGGCAGTTATCAGCATGCATTTCTGTCAACTTATAGGCAGCACATTTTTCTTCTTTCTTCCTTCCTTTTATTCTAAAACTGCAAGACCCAAACAATACACAGACATGAAGACCATAAAAAAGATCTTTTTGCCTATACAAAGAGTGAAACCACAAAGACTGGATTTTTTGTCTTTATGCTGTCATTCTTTTGGTTCCCTGACATACAGACAAGTTTTGTTTGTTTAGTAAACTTCACCCTTTCTCTGTTTGCCTACTTATGCAGTAGCATAGAAGTAAAAAGCTTACACAGTATAAACACCTCCTAATAAAATTAGTTCTTTTTCAGAGAACTGTCAAGGAATTTCACTCTTCAATTGCATGTTTTGATCAGAATTCTGTACTGACAAAAATCAGAATAGGCTGAGCTGCCTAACTGGTGTATGGGTCCTAATATGTTACAGCTACTTTCTCACAGCCTAATGGCTGAACAGCCCAGACACAGCAAGTAGAGAACATGTCACAGAAGCCAGCACAGATCCACTCCAGAATAAATGTACCTGTGCCCTGGACGTTTGGGATCATTGAGCCATACCCATCTTTCTTCCTCCTCATCAAAGCTTAATCCAGTCCAAACAAAGCCAATGTCTTTATCCTTCAGTTTGTTCAAGAAATCCTAAAGAGAGAGAGAGAGGTCTTTAAACTGTCATAATAATGACACTTCATAAAACTGCAGCACCATTTTGTAGTGGTAATTAATATTTTAAAAACATCAAGACTTCCATGTCCGAAGATTCCAGATGATGTTTCCAAGAAATTGAGAAGAAAAAAACTCATGGAAATCAGTTCATATTTTCAACTGTACCCAGTATAATGGCTAATGATGGTAAATTAAGCAACCAAGGAGCTAACTTTTGCCTCCTTGCTGGCCCCAGGCCCATTCCACTAGCACATTTTAGATGAAGATCAGGCTGAACTGAATTACAGGATATGAATTCTATCTCCTGTAGCTGAAGCTATCTCCTCTTCCCACTCCAACCTCCACCCCCACCCAACATGGAAGGGAGGTGATCATTTTGCTAGCTTACCCTCCTAGGTTCTCTAGAAGTGACTGTCTAAACTTGGTCACCTTTAAACAAAATCAGTAACACAAAAAAGACACTCTACAGGTTAGGATTTGGTCCACAGAACTGTTCTTTCTATTGCCAGAGACCTGATCCCGGAATTTTAAAATGTACTAAATATAAATGTCTTCACACACACCCCCCACCCCCACCCCCCCAAAAAAAAGAAAAGCAACAGCCTTGATGACAGCTACATTCCCAACAGGTTTGAATTGGAATAAAACATGCAAGAATCCTTCAAATACTAGCTGCTTCTTGCTGGAGATGATCTCTAAGCATATCTTTGCATCTAGTTAAATGAAACAGAGGCTACTGGTCTTTTTGACACTAATGTTTCCTAACATACAGAAGCAAATCATCAGTGCACTTAGGACTGACAATACCTTTTATGACCATATCTGGATTAGAAATGGCTTCTAAAAATACATGGAAAGCTGTAGTTCGATATGTGGATTTAAAAACTGTAGGTAAAAAATTATTTTAACCACAGAGTGCCTTACAAGCTTACCATTTCTGTCTCATTCTCTATAATCAGCAGCTCGGATTTTTTTGCTGAGCAATACATTCTACTATTTTCCCAGGTGTCACGGGTTTCTGAGTAGAAATAACACCTCCCGTAATGCAGCTTCCAGCCAATGGGGCAGAGTTCACATCTGGAGCCTGTGAAGAGTTTGGGGTGAAGGTAGTTTCTTACTTTTTTTTTTTTTTTTAATAACTGATCTTATTATTATTGGCCCTTGCTTTTTATTGGTCTTTTGAATAAGAGCGTAAGAAGCTTTAAGCCAGGACTGGGGCACAAATTGCCACAATACAGCTCAGTTTAAGAAAGCACATTGTCCCTGCTTTACAGTAGTAATAAAGATAGTAATTCTTTCATTAGATCTCACTGTGTACCTTTAAATATTTGAAACTCTAAATAATTGTACTAAATATTTTACATAACAATTGAGGATAAATTCCCAGCTGAAAATTTCCCACTGAAATCACTGTGAGTAGTACAATTCAATTGCATCCATAGAGAAATAATGAAGACCTTCAGTAACACCATTTCACTTTTCCTTTTTGCTTAAACTAAAATTTTCAAGGATAGAATTCTAAAACAGATTACTTTATACATCTTTATCAATATAGACATGCTTCTTCTGGTATCTAAAGGTCTGTTCCTCTCTGCAAGTGTTTATTTTTATATTAATATTTTCAAGAGCTTCAAGACATTCATGTTACTATGAGTGAGCCTTTATTTCCTTACCATTTGTATGCATGCATAAACTTTTCTTCAATATAGTCAGTAAGCTGCTTTCCTGAAGACCTTTCTCAAAGATACTGCCAATTTCAGAAAGATTTTCTCTGGACTTCCACACACCACTTGATAGCAAGTCACCTGGACAAGAATCTCCAACAGTTTAATGCAAAGCTCACAAGTGAACTGTATAGAAAACCCATAGTATTTTTCTGTGGATAATAATAGGAAATTTAAATGGAAATTCGCATTGCTCATTTGTCCTTCCAGCTCTCCTGTTAATGATATGTGGAGAGTTGAACACCCAAATCATGGAAGTTAAACAAATACATGCAGTGACAAAGACATGACTTCACAAAGACAAGGTAAAGTCCATTGTTATCAAGCTTTTGACAACTTGGTATGCAACAGTTGTCTTTCAAATACCATGGTTGTGCCTCTGATTTTCCAGTTCCTGAAATTGGTATTGATCTTATTTCAGAAAAGAATGGGTTGATGGCAACCTAAAAACTTGTTCAACCTGCTTGGCTAGGGCAACTGCAACCATTTTTCTCTGATCTCTAGGTTTAGATGCTCAGGGCTAATGGCACACATCTGCTGGATGGGTAAGCTCTGTACGCACATGATCAATGCTGGCAGTGACCCAGTGCTTATGTACAAATTCTGTGGACAGTGCAAAAGCCACTTTTATAAACTTACAGGCACAGATTTTTATTTTGTTACTAAAAGAGTTTTTCCAAACTGATGGATGGATGGATTCTTTGCTTAGAAACCTTGGTGGTTTATTCTGTTTTAGAAAAAAAGAGTAGGGAATCTAAGATTTGGGGAGGGGATGGGAAAGTGAGAAAGACTCCAGCCCTCTTCAGACACACTAAATATGCATGGGTCCTTTGAAAGTCACTGACTTTCTTCAGATCCACAGCCCCAAAATACCAGTGACTCCCTCCCACCTTCGTTAGAAACATAACAGTAGAAATCATGAGTGGTCCTGTCACCTTATCAACACAGTTTGTTTGCAAAATTTGTTTAAGTTAAGGATTAATACCTGTCAGTTTCAGTGACACATAAGAAAGCAAACCACTCATTGACAGGAATTAAAGCAAAACATTTCTCTTGGTCACTCACATTGCTGAATTAATGTGATCACAGCTCCCAGAAACATAACATTCACAAAACCTGAGACGGCAGCGAGATACCACAAGCCTGAAGATTTAGAGGGATGGTCTGCAAGAAATAAGAGGGGTTTACAAACACAACATGAGATGCAACCCACATGCTGCATAAATCTGAGTTTTGCTAGACATCTTTCAGACAGAATTTCCAACACTTCCATTTTGCCACGTTCTTTGTCACAGTTGCTTTTCCCATTCTAGTTGGCTCCTGCATATCAACTGGTTCTTCCATCTAACAAACTTGTATTCCCCAAAATTTCTGAGGGGCCTTGAACACTCACGCTGGCTGCACTGCTTGCCACTTCGTTTCAGGTTTTGAGTGGCACAGCTACTGAACAGTCTATGCTTCTTCATAGCTTCCTAATAACTCAAAGAAAATTACTTCTCATTAGAATCAGAGAAATCTGGAAATACACAGTCATGGTGAATTGTAGAGGAATTTTTAGGTAACCATGGTCACGAAGTGCTAATACAGGCCTGCATGCACAACCCAGGCTACTTCAAGGACGATGTGTCCTTGAGCATGTAGAAGAAGAAAGTAAGATGTAAGCAAACAAAAATGCAGAGATAAAGGAGGGTGTCTAAACCGCCAAGGGAAGGAATGTTTTTCGCGTGGCGGGAGCATTGTAGCCAATTAGAAATAGAGATAGGGCGCGTGGACAGTGTAATGTAGCCAATTATTAAGGGGCTGATGGCGCGTGGCACGGTGTAACACAATAAATATCCAGGCATTGTAATAAAGTTAGAGCTTTTTGAGCATTGAGCATTACCTCTGTGAGGATGTCTCTGACTCTGCGCCCACCCTCCCGCGATCGACTCCCTACAAGTGGTGCCCCATGTGAGGAACAACCTACGTTTTCAATCCGTGTGAGGAACGACCTGCGCTCTTAAACCGTGTGAGAAATTTGCTGTTCGACTGCGGGAGGAGCTGCCAGAGACTTATAGTTGATGTTCAACCGCGGTCTGCACGGCAAGGCTGAGAGGCGGGACGGAGGAGATTGATACGGATACAGCCGTAATCAGGTAGGAAGGTTCGCTCCCTTTCCCCCGTCAGTAAGTCTGCAAGCATGGAAGCTGAATGTGCTGCAGCAAGGAGACTGCTACTAGGTATCCTTGCTAAGGAAGGGGAGGCAGTTACCGAAAAGGTGTTGCTCGTTTTATGGGCTCGGGACACTGGAATTTTTAAGGTGCCTGCTACCAAAAAGGCGTTGCTCGTTTTATGGGCTCGGGAC